CCTGGAACCATAAGCTCAAATAAACTCTTCCTTCTATAAATTGCTTGGGTCAGTGTTTCTATCACAGCAACAGAAAAGTGACTAATACAGCTTCATAGTTTTTTTCTTTCTCCCCTCCCTTCTCCTCCTCAAAGCAGATACTGAGATTACTTACCTGCTGTGAGGATTTTTCTTTCAAATTCTAACAAAATTGTCCTAAGCGTCAAAAAAAAAAAAAAAAAAAAAAAGTATATAGGAAGATGTGTGTAGTTACATGCAAATTTGATGCTGTCTTTCAGCAAGAACTTGTACTTCTGTGGATTTTGGTACTGGGGTAGAGTACTGGAACCATATCTTCTGAGTACTGAGAGACTACTTCATAGCTAGCACTGAGTATCATCTCAATACTACCTTTAATTATGACAGTTTCACATTTTCCTTTTGTGTTAATGCATGTGCATGCATGAGTGTAAGAGACAGAGAGTGTGTGGGGGGGGTGGTATAGGCCAGAGTTAAGATTTTCAGGTATATTCCTCTATCATTCACCTTATTTTCTGAGGCAGGGTTTCTCACTGAACCTGGAACACTGACTTAGCACAACCAGTGGCCAACATGGCCCAGGGATCTTCCTGTTTCTGCTTCCCAATGCTGGGGTCAGTTTTTTGGTTTTGGGGGGTTTTTTTTTTTTCTTTTTTTTTTCTTTTTACGTCTTTTTGAGACAGGATCTCTGTAGCTCCACCAGCCTGGAACTCACTATGTAAACTAGGCTGGTCTTGATCTCACAGAGATCCACCTCCCTCTGCCTCCTGAGTGCTGGGATTAAAGGTGTGCTGGGGATCTAAACTCAAGTCCTCCTGCTTGTATGGCAAGCCATTTTATTGATGGAGTCACCTTCCCAACCCCTATATTTTCTTCTTTTTACATTTTAAAAAACTTTAAAATAATTTTAGGTTTATAAAATTATGAAAATCAAACTTAGAAAATGATTTGGTGGGGTGAAGACATGAAGATCCAGATTTCAAGGTCATCTTAACTACACGCTAAATTTAAAGCCAGCCTAGGATACATGAGACCCCATCTCAAAAAAAAAAAAAAAAAATGCTCAGTGGGTAAAAATACTTACTGCACAGCTTGATGATTCGAGTTCCATTTCCAATAGCTCCATCCCATGGCATATCCTACTAAGCATGGTGCATTTACCAAAACTAGTCTTCTAACATTAGTAAATGCTACCAATATTTACACTAATGCTCCTTTTCCTAGAACCAATCAGGATGCTATGTTACACTTACTTCTCCATATCCTCTGTCTCTTCTAATCTGGGACAATGTTCTTATCTTTCCATCTTTCACGGCCTTGACACTTTTGACAGTAGTGATCAGATGTTCAATAGAATGATTCTCAATGTTTGACTGGCATTCTTTTTGCAAGGGGCACATGACATTAACATGACATTACTGATAATGATAACACTGATTGCTTAGACAATTACTTGCCAGGCTACATGAAAATAATAATATCAACTTTAGGATACTAGTTTGGGGACAGAGAGATGAGAAAGAAAAAGATAAGAGATAAACAGAGAATGAAACTTCTATTAACATTTTTTTTTTTGTTTTTTGGGGTTTTTTTGAAACAGGGTCTCCCTGTAGCCCCAGCTGTCCTGGAACTCACTATGTAGGCCAGGCTGGCCTTGAACTCACAGAGATCCGCCTGCTTCTGCCTCCCAAGTGCTGGGATTAAAGGCATGCGCTGCCATGCCCAGCTTTATTAGCAATTTTTTAAAGATAAATACACAGATGCTCAAATACTTAAAACATTTTGTTGTTTCATTTTGTTTTTGAGACAAGGTCTTACTATTTAATCCTGGCTAGCCTTAAACTCAGAGATCCACCTATCTCTGCCTCCCTAGTGCTGGGACTAAAGGCATGTGCCACCATGCTTGGCTAAAACCTATTATTTTAAAGAGGTAATATGGATGGAAGCAAATAGCGGTGAAACATTTAGAGCTAAGTGACTATGTAAAAGATGCTAAGAATATTATCTTTCTTTTTCTGCAGTGCTAGCACTCAAATTCAGAGCTTTGCACACAAAAATTAATAATAGTAAAAAAAATAAAGTGCTAGAAAATGTTAGGATATATTAAGACAAAAAAGAAAAAAGCTGGCTTGGAAGGATTCCTACTTCTTAAATCTGGAACAATCAGAGTTTCAATAAAACAACAATAAATTGTAACCCATTAAGTGAAATAAGAACCCACAGACCTACACTATAAGACAGTACTACTGATTATGAATAATACCACTTTAACCAAGTGATCAAGTTACCATGAACGAGATTAAACCAGTATCACATCTGTGGGATGCACTACACACACCACCTCACATTCTGCCAAAGACATACAATCTGAATTTTTTTTTAAAGATTCACTTATTCTTATTTTATGTGTAAGAGTGCTTTACCTGAATGTATGTAAGTGCACCATGTGTGTTCAGTGCCCTTGGAGGCTCATATGTTTAACAGGCAACATACTGAGTTCCACAAGAGGATGGGTGTGGTGGTGCATGCCTTTAATCCCAGCACTCAGGAGGCAGAGGCAGGCGGATCTTTGTGAGTTCAAGGCCAGCCTGGTCTACATAGTGAATTCCAGGACAGGTAGGTGGGGTACAGGGAGACCCTGTCTCAAAAAGACCCAAAACAAGAACAACAAAAAAACTATTCTATAATGTTTTTATGTTTTTTTTTTTTAAAGGTCTCTTTTCTTAGCCAGGCGTGGTGGTACATGTCTTTAATTCTAGCACTCAGAAAGCACAGGCAGGCAGATCTCTGTGAGTTCCAGTACCAGCTAGGGCTATAGGGAGACCCTGTCTCAAAAAAGACCCCCAAAAAAGTTTTTTCTTAGAAAATATATAGGGATAAAGAAAGTGATAAATGTAACTTACCTTCAAATGGTTCAGAAAAATCATAATATTGGTATGGACCTAAAGAAACAGACTCAGACAGCTGAAGCCAAATGCTACCAATTTGCAAGTCTAAGTGAAGGATAATGGGAGGTCTAAGTTTGTTTGAGACAGCATCTTACTATGTAGCTCACATTGGTCTTGGACTTGTTAGGTAGCCAGCTGGCCTGGCACTATGTAGATCATCAGCCTGACCTTGATCTCAGAGATCTACCTGCCTCTGCCTCTGTTGTGCTAGGTGCTGGGATTAAAGGCATGCACCACCACATCCAATCTTCAAAGCTTTTTTTTTGGATACAGGGTCTCAGGTAGTCTTGAACCCAGTATGTAGCCAAGAATAACTTTAAACTCCTAATTACAGGCATACATTAGAACACCAAGTTTATTCTCAGTACTCTCTAGGATTTGTGTAATTTTAAATTTTCTTCAAAATAAAAAAAATCTTTAAAAATATATAATTTTTTATTTTGTGTATACCAGTGTTTTGCCTAGATGTATTTAAGTGCACCACATGCATGCACCCAAAGAGGCCAGAAAAGGGTGTTGGATCCCCTGCAACTGGGGTCACTAATGGTTGTTGGCCACCATGTAGATCCCAGGAACCAAACCTTCCTCTAGGAGTCAAGGGTTCTTAACCACTAAGCAATCTCTCCAGTCCCCAAAATAAAAAAATTCTTAAAAAAAAAGTTTTAAAAACTACTACTGGGGGCTGGAGAGATGGCTCAGCAGTTAAGAAAGCTGCTCTTGAAGAGGAAATGGAATTGATTCCCAGCACCCACATATCAGTTACAACCATCCATAATTCCAGTTCCAGGGGATCCAATGCCCTCTTCTGTCCTCTTTGGGCAATGCATGACACAGATGCACCTGCACACATGCAGGCAATAAATTCTTTTTTTAAATTACTACAATGGTCCAGTGTGGTGATGCATGCCTTTAATCCCAACACTAGGGAGGCAGAGGCAGAGGCAGAGGCAGATGGATGCCTGCTGAGTTCCGAGCCAGCCAGGGCTGCAAAATGAGACCCCATCTAAATAAAGAGACTATAGGCATGATAGCACACATTTGGAATCCTATCATTTGGGAGGCTGAGGAAAGTTCAAGGCCAGCCTGAATCACAGACACAGTACCAAGAAAAACAAAACAAAAATCTTTACTATGAAGACATTGCTATTTTTTAAGATTAATAGACAACAATTACCAAGCTATCAAAAAATTCTCAAAAACCAAACACAAACACTGGGCATGGTGGCACAAGTCTTTAGTTCCCGTACTTCAGAGGCAGAGGCAGAGGCAGACAAAGCTACATGGTCTACATGGTAAGTTCTGGCCTGGCTGGGGCTAGGGAGACCCTGTCAAAAACAACAGCCACCAAAAACCCCACAAACATTCCTTTGTTTTAAGGATATACTGGTGATGTTTTATTCTTTTTTGGGCGGGGAAAGGGGGTGGTCTTTTTGAGACAGGGTTTCCCTGTAGCCCCAGCTGGCCTGGAACTTGCTATGTAGACCAGGTTGGCCTCAAACTCACAGAGATCCGCCTGCCTCTGCTTCCCAAATGCTGGAATTAAAGACATGAAACACCACTCCCAGCATTAGATGTTTTTGTCTTAGCAATAAATTGTTGAACATTAAAATTGTTCCCTTGAAGTTTTGGTCAAAAAACTCTAAAACAAGTAGGGAGATGCGGGGACTGGCTCAGTTGGTCATTTTTACACATGCCTTGAAAGCATGACAACCTGAGTCTGGATCCCCAACACCAACATCAAAAAGCCAGGTGTGCTCGAGCACCTCTGCAACCATAATGCATGGTGAGCAGAGACAGGCAGATCTCTGGAGTTCCGTGGTCAGCTAGTCTAGTCAGTGAGTATTCAGCTCAGTCACACTCTGTTTCAAAAGATAAGGTACAAGAGAATATAAGGAAGATACCAGACCGCTGGCCTCCACACACTTATGTACTCAAACATACATGCACCTGCACATACACACACATTACATGTGCAGACACAAAAAACTGAAGCAATTTCTCTCAGGCAGATAATGCACACGCACCCCCCTTTACCTGAGACATCCATCTGTCATCTCCTTGAATATCTTCAGCTGCATGTGGGATAGCTGCTGGGTTTGAGTCTCCTTGGCTCATTCTATACCTGAGAAGAAATGTCTATGTCATGTTTAATTTATTAACAAGAATGTTACAACTCATTAAATATTACACGTCAGGCTTTAAATGATTCATTTTATTATGGGTTTTGCCTAGAAACTAAACCAGGGTTTATTTTCAGCAGAGTTGAACTCTAGGACACCATTGCTTAAGTCTCCACAATACATTATCTGTAAATGTTCAGACATTTCAGCATCACTTACCAACAATGTATAACTATAAAAAACTTACCCCTGGGGCTGGAGAAATGGCTCAGTGGTTAAGAGCTCTGACTGCTCTTGCAGAGGACCTGGATTCAATTCCCAGCACCCACATGGCAGCTACAAACTGTCCTTAATTCCAGGGGAATCCGAAGCCCTCTTCTGACCTCCGCGGCATTGCACAACATGGGTGCACTCACATACATGCAGGCAATACACTTGTATACATAAAATAAAAATTAATAAAATATTTTAAAAAAAAACCTTCATTCCTCTGTCTTGTGGTTAAGACTAAGTGTGAAAGCCAAGCATGGTAGTACATGCTTTTAATCCCAGCACTCAGGAGACAGAGGCAGGTAGATCTCTATGAGGACAGCCTGGTCTGTGTAGCAAGTGTCAGGCCAGGCAGAGCTACAAAGTAAGACCATGTCTCAACAACCCCACCCCCCGCAAAAGATTAGGTATGAAAACCAAAAAATATCAAAAAAAAAAAAAGGTGGACAATGAGAGGGAACGACACCTAGGAGTCACCTCTGCACATGTACACCTGCACACATGTGCACCCACATAAACACAAGTGACCATATGCACATATGCACACACACACAGACAAAACTAGGGGCTGTGGGGATGTGATTCCGTTGGTAAAGTGCTTGCCTAGCATAGACGAAGCTCTGGGTTGGATCCCTAGGACCACATAAAGCCATGTGTGATAGTGCATGCCTCTAATTCCTGCATTCAGGATGCAGGAGGAGGATCAGAAATTCAAGGTCAACCACAGCTACATAGTGAGTTCAAGGCCAGCCTGGGATACATGAGACCTCTCAAAAACAGATTAGGAGAAAACAGACTTTGACATTAGTTTTTGACAAATGTTTATCACTTTGTCTTTTCTTTGCATTTGTGTTTATGTGTGTGTGGAAGGAAGTCAGAAGACAACTTGCAGGAGTTCATTCTCTCTATCCTGTGGGTTCTGGGAATTGAATTCAAAGTCATCAGACTTGGTAGAAGCACCTGAGCCATGTTGTTACCCCTTTAAAACAAGGTCTTATTAAGTAACCCAGGCTAGCCTCAAACTCACTTCTCAGCCTCCTCAGTGTTAGGGTTATAAGCATTTACCACCGTGTCCATGCCCAGCTTGCCAAGCTTTCCCATAGCCCATCCCCCCAAGACAAGTCTAGTGGTACCTCAGACTGGCCTGGAACTTACTATGTAACCCTGGCTGACTCAAATTCATGATCTTCCTGGCCCAGCCTCCTAAGAAGTGAGACTACAAATGTACACTACCATACTCGGCTCATTTTTTTTTTAAATTTATTTATATGGGGGGGGGGTGTACGTGTACCACAACGCATATGTGGAAGTCAGAAGACAGCTTGCTAGAGTCAGTTCTCACCTTCCACTATGCGGATCCCAGAGCTCAGATCAGAACTGGGGTCATCAGGATTGACAGCAAGCACCTTTACCCATTGGGCCATCTTGCCAGCCCACATATTTTTATTTTTGACAGACCTCCACTAAAAACTTTTAGTAATGATGAGCTCAGATACAGCATTTGATTTTAGGGAAAAGAAGTAAGCAACAACTCAGAAAAACTAGAAATGCTAATAATCTTGTAGAAAGACAAATAGGAAGCCACACTATTTCCAACCAATTCTGAAGGACATATACTAGAAACATTAGTCTTCAAATGTAAAGGACAACAAAAAGAAAAATCTCATTTTGCAATTTCTAGAAAAGGAGACCATTCTCTCTATGAGCAATCTTTTTTCATTACTCTATCACCTTTGGTACTGCTAGGCTTTCTCTGAAAGAAGACTGAGTTTGGGGGTTGAAGAAATGGCTTAGCAGTTAAGAGCACTGGCTACTCTTATGGAGGACCTGAGTTCAGCTCCCAGGATCCACATGGTGGCTAAGATGTGTCCTTAACTCCAGTTCCAGGTGATCTGACACCCTCTTTTGGTCACCAGAGACACCAAGCATACACATGGTGCACTTGTATATACACAGACGAAACAGTCTTACACAAGAAATAAAAACAAAATCTTAAAAAAAAAAAAAGGGGGGGGCTGGAGAGATGGCTCAGCAGTTAAGAGCACTGACTGCTCTTGCAGAGGACCCGGGTTCGATTCCCAGCACCCACATGGCGGCTCCAAACTGTCTTTAACTCCAGTTCCAGGGGGATCCAAAGCCCTCTTCTGACCTCTGAGGCACTGCACAACACAGATGCACTCACAATACACTCATACACACGAAATAATAAAAATATTTAAAAACAAAACAAAACTGAGTTTTGTAGGCTGGGACTGGTGGCACACACCTGTAATCCCAGCACTTAAGAGATAGTGACAGATCAGAAATTGTTGTCAGCCTTGACTACACCTCCAGTTCAAAGTCAGCCTGGGATACATGAGATCTTATCTCAAACAAGTAACAAGAGTTATACTCATCTCTCTCTCTCTCTCTCTCTCTCTCTCTCTCTCTCTCTCTCTCTCACACACACACACACACACACACATACACACACACACACAGACACACACACACACAAAGTGACAAGGTATTAATTTTTCAGCCAACCACTGAGCTTCAACTCTAGTCAAATGTCCCAATGTAGATTTTCAAAATTCCAACTACTAAGCTCAAACACAAAAGCATACCTTCTCATGAAAAAATAAATATAAATTATAGAAGCAAACAATACTAATACCACTTCACAAACAAGTTAGCTTAGTTCTAAATGATTAAAAAAAATTAAGGCTGGGCGTGGTGGCGCACACCTGTAGTCCCAGCACTTGGGAGGCAGAGGCAGGCGGATCTCTATGAGTTCAAGGCCTGGCTGGTCTACATAGTGAGTTCCAGGCCAGGTGGGGCTGTAAGGGGACCCTGTCTCAAAAAGACCCCCCCCCAAAAAAAATTAGGATGAGGACTACGCCCACTGGCTGAAAATGTAAAATATCTATATTTAGGGTATGCATTTCCTCAGACAGCTGTAATTTACAACTATCAGAAAATAGGTAGCTATGAAAGACTATGTTTTAAACATACCATCCTGCAAGCCTGGCGTGGTGGCGCACGACTTTAATCCCAGGCAGAGTCAGATGGATCTCTTGGTCTACATAGTGAGTTCAAGGCCAGTTGGGACTACAGGAAGAGCCTGTCTCGAAAAGACCATACTAAGCATCAAAGAATTCAGGTTATATGTCCAGTGACTGAGGAGGATCTAAAATTGTTTGCCTGACACCAATAATGACACACTAAATCCAATGATCAGAAGTCAGTTCATGCCGACTCTTTAAAGGGAGCCTTACGTTTAATCATTTCACCCAGAAGACACACAACACAAAGCCTGAAACATCCATGTAAAAGATATCAGGAAGAACTGCAGGATACGTTTGCTTTAAATTTATGTTTATTTATTGTGTATGTGTACACGTGGGTGCCAAAGTGTGCATGTGGAGGTCAAAAGACAACTTGTGTGAGTTAGTTCTCAACTTCCACTCATGTGGATCCCAGGTACTGAACTTAGGTAGTCAGGCCTGGTAGCAAGAGCCTTTACCCACCTGAGCCATCTCACCAGCCCCAAAGATGCATTTGTTTAGCTTCACTCAGGCCATGGTATCTGTTAAAGTGTTAAGATAGCCAAACATGGTGATACATGCCTGTAATCTCAGCACACAAGAGGCTGAAGTTAAGAGGGGTGCCAGTGTGAGGCCAGTCTGGGGTACACAGTAAGAACCCTGTATCAAGAAAAACAAAAAAGAGCTGGAGAGATGGCTCAGTGGTTAAGAGCACTGGCTGCTCTTGCAGAGGACCCAGGTTCAATTCCCAGCACCCACATGGCGGTAACCATCCATTAACTCCATTCCAGGGGAATCCAATGCCCTCTTCTGACCTCCACGGGCACTGAATAACACAGGTGCACTTACACACATGCAGGCAATACACTCATACACATAAAATTATTTTTCTAAAAAAGGAAAATTAAAATATGTATAACAAAAAATAATTTAAGGATCCAAAATGTTGTCATATTTAGGCTTTTAATTAGGGTTTGTTGCTGTTGTGTTTTTGTCTTTTTTGAGGAAGGTCTCCCTGTAGTCCTACCCAACCTGGAGCTCACTATGTAGACCTGGCTGGCCTTGAAATTGTCAAAGAATAAATTAATTTAGAAAGGATTGTTTTAGAAAAAAACAAAGTACCATTCTGGACTGGAAAGTGGGTGAAAGTGTTTGCCATACAAATCTGATAACCTGAGCTTGGCTCCATTATCAACAGGTCATCTCTCTATAGGGCGATGGGAGGCAGAGACAGGAGAATCTCCAGAAGCTCCAGGGCCAGCTAGCCTAGCTTATGTAGTACTGAAGCACTCGTCTCCAACAAGGTAGAAAGGCTAGGAACAACTCCCAAAGGTTGTCCCCAGACCTCCACACATGCAATGAGGCAAGTACATGCCTGAACCCACAAGCAAACAAACACATGCTCACACACCAGACGTACATGCATGCACACACACACACACACACACTAAACAAAAAGCACCATTCTATGGGTATGGTGGCTCACACCTATAATCTCAGCAGGCAGGAGGCAGGGTAAGAGGACTAGTACAAGTTCAAAGGCAGCTGGGGCAACACAGTGAATTCTAGGCCAGTCCAGGCTACACAGACAGACCTCATTTCAAATGTATGTGACAACACACAGCACTACTTTCTGTTCACTAATTGTAGATGCCTATTTCCTAGCTTTTTGAATAGACCTTAAAAACCATCCATTTTGTTAATTT